CTTTGTGCCTTAAAGGGATGTTTTCCTTAGTGTGATAACAGCTGTAAAACAAGCTTATGTTTTCCCATTCCTGAAAAGACGTGCTCTAGCACGTTATAGCTATGCTTATTTAAGGCTCTTATTTTTGGGTTTTCCTATTGGTTCCTTCATTTAATGTTTGTCATGCGGTGATACACTGAAGAATGTACAGTAGACAAACTGGATGTTGCTTGTCTCTATAGTGTAACTGCTCATCTAACCTAGGAAACTGTTAACATTGATAAAAAGTGTGTTGCTGGAAGAATAGGGTCCACAGCAGAGTGAGCCATTGCTAAATTAACTGTATGACAAAATGACTTACCTAATATAGTGAAGCACAAATCATTATTTTTTGCGAAAGCCATCACCCATGATTAAAGACTTCCTGCTCTGCGGGTTTTGTTGTCAAGAAAGTTATGCAGCGTATGTGGAAAGTTCATGAGGAAATCTAGACATATATTGGAAATTAACAGTGTCCCGTAACAGTTTACATCCCTTAGTGAGACTGCTAATGTGCCATTGCATTAAACCACCCTCATTCCGTCTGTCCTGCAAATGTGTATAAAAGGTTTATAACATTAAATGCAGGATCAAATACTGCAGGAATTATGGCAAAACTTCACTGCCAGGTAAATTAGCACAGAAGGCTGAATCTGGGCAGCTGCAAAGGGCAAAAAAAGTGATCAATCCAGGTTGACAGTTTTTTTTTTTAAATTTAAATTACATTTTTACAATTTACAGTCTTGAACTGAAATGTTTCAAAATAAATGGTTTTATTGGGTCAGGTCAACATATTTTGTTCATGCACAGACTGTGTCTTACAAACCATTGAATGACAAAAAATGTGCATAAGATGTATCAAATAAATGTCTGTTATTTTTACTGAAGTCACCTGGGAGAAAAAGACATGTATTGTCACAGAGATTTTCAAAAGAATTCAAACCAAACAACTCTGAGCTATTAGTTAAGTTCTCCCCGAATGGCCTCCTCTCGTTTGTAAATTTCTTATGTTCTTGTGTTCTTATCTGTATTGTGCTTAAATTAGAAACTAAAGTCTATGGAAAACTATCTTTTACAACACCTGACGAACAGTACATTCAACAAATATACATAGTAACATTTAATCAGGGTTGCCAACTTTGGTGAGCAGGCTGGATTGAGATTTTCAATTCGAGACGAGTCTGCACCCACATACACATGCATTTACATGTATGTCACAGTTTTATTACCTTGTAAATAGTCTGTAGGGTTTGCAAACTACCCCAAAGGTGAAAATTATTATGATTGGTTCGGAGAGCACATTCAGAGCTCATGTAAAAGTGGTGGTGGGAAACTTTACACTGAATTTTTGAACGTATACTAGATAATCTTGAAAAGGAATACTTATTAAAACTGCCAAGTTTGCTAAGTTTTGTTACCTATGACAGAGCAAAATTGTTTTGATGAAACTTACTGATAGTCAACCAGACTTGTGTGGCATTATGAGAATATGGTATACAGGGGTATTCTGGCAACACCCTGATCCCATTCTAAAATGCCACAGTAGCGTTGTTTTTGTAAACATGTATACTGTGGTACAATGTCTGGGTGCTATGAAAAATTAATTACCACCCAAGCCTAATCTCAGCCCAGCTGACTATTGTGGTCCTTGTACATGACATGTGATGTGGATATTTACATTGCCCAGTCCTAATAACCACACATGTATTCTGTAACGGCTTGACTCTGATCTGCACCGCAACATTTACTAATAATCTCAGACTGAAAGTGCTAAGGAAGCTTAGGTTCTTGGCATTTTCTCCTTCGAGAGAGCTAATGTTCTCATCATAAATGTTTTAAGAGAAAATATCTGTGGTTTATAGGAGAGTTTCCCACCAGAGTCTATAAAATCATGGAACCTGAAATACTGCACGTCGGTCGATTCGTAATACTATGTGGTTAAAATGTGTGAATGAATAATGATTATTTTGATATATTTGAATTCTAAATGTCCTCTTGTGGACACCAGAAATCATAAAAAAGCATAACATGTCAAATACTATGAAATCAAATGCATTGGCCTATGAAAAGGAATGTTTTAAAAACATTTCTTTTCCTTTAATTACTGGAATTAGCTTTAAGGTGACTAATGTTAATGAATGTCACTTTTTTTGGGGGGGGGCAGACAGTTATTGCTACAGTGTTTGATACCAGACCCTATATAGGTTATTTATAAGTATCCAAATTAATAAAACATTTAATCAGACATCCAAAACTTCTCCTGAAATTAGAGCATTATTCGAACCATGCCAGAACTTACATCCCAGCTCAGCAGCTGAAAAAATAATAAGCATTTTATGCATATTATTCCGTGTGATGAGATATTTATCAGTACTCACATTTCCTGTGAAAGTATACCAGTCTCAATCTAGGGTACATTTTTGCATATTTTTTGTTTTTTCTTGATCAGTCTTTCTTCCATCACATTCTATTCAATGTACTTTGCCAAATCAACAATAGTATGTTGTTGTTTATTGCTACTTTTGAGAAAAAAAAGAATATCTGTTGATTCTGGGGTTCAAAATTTATTAGAGAAATGTACAATGTTAAGCTGGTGCCTGATACACGGGCACATCATGTTATGTTATTAAATAACATCACCAGAATTTAGTTACATCACAAAATGTTATTACTATTCAATTATATGGGCATTTGTATGCAAGCTCCCTTGAATTTGAAATGTCTAATTGCATTCATGAAGCGCTTAAACACTAAGGATGATTGCTTTAAATAATATTAGATGGGGGAAAAAATCATTCTGTACTTATTCTGCATTTGTCTACTACTATCCAAATTTCTTTAATACAAACAGAAAATAACAATTTTGACTTAAGAAAGGCACCTTACTTTATGATTATATAAAAATGTATTGAGATCGGAGAATCTCCGACAAATTAGCGCCATCTAGTGTTCCCAGTACTACTTGGCATCATTCGACTCTCTCATGTTATTTTATTTTTGCTAAGAAATTGTATAAGGAGCAATTAAAATTAAGCAGCCTTCTCTACGCAACATTGTGCCAACTCATGGAACAAAAACTTTAATTACGCTCTCCTTTCTTCTAATCTACTGCCAAACCACATATCACACCTGATCTTGAAGGTGATATCTCTCATTCCCATGTGGTGCAATGAGTGTAAGATGGGAAGCTTTTGACACTCACTTCCTGTTATGAAGGCAGGCAGATTTGTGCAGCCCCATTCATCCTTAATAACCAAATCCATCGTCATTCTGTTCTCATCATATGTTTGTACTGTCTGGCCTTGTCTCATGTGTCTTCTTGCTTATTTTTCTGGTTCTCCCATTATGTTCTGTTTTGTGTAATAAAACTTTGTTTGAGAGCCGCTACATGGGTTAGCCCTCCCATTGTCATGCCCCTCCGTAACATGCATTGTCACACAGACTTTCAAATGAATTGAAAAGAAGGCAATATCCCTTAAAATGCAGGGCTGCCAACCCACACACACCTGGCGTGACACTCACACTGTCTGACTCTCACTCTCATGCAAGAAATCTTACGGCAAATCTATATTATTCCATTATGAATCTAAAATTAGCTACATCAAAAGCATCAGACAGTTTGCAAACCCTACAGACTATTTACAAGGTAATAAAACTCTTACATAGATGTAAATGTGTGTGCAGACTTGTCTCAAATTGAAAATCTCACGCCAGCCGGCTGACCGAAGTTGACAACCCGGAAAATGTGAAGGGAAAAAAAAGAATAAGTTTTGCTTTTTCAGAAGTGCTGCAAATTGGAGATGTATTACTGTCAAATAAATTTGTGCCAAATCTTATTGGGCTATTCTTCCCTACCTCTGTGGTAGCGTTTCAGGCTAGATTTACGGAGCAATCACATGGCCATATTGATATAAAGCGAGGTGGCATGATAGCTCATTGGGTACCACTGCGCAAAGTTTCATCTTAAATGCTGCGGGGTTGATTCCCACCCCTAGAACTATATACGTTAAGTTCTCCCTGTTTTAATGTGAGGTTCCTCATACATGTTTAAAATATGTTGTGAGTCAAACTGAGAGCCAACAATAAACTGGGTGAGCCTATCTATCTATCTATCTATCTATCTATATATAAATGGTACTTATACTATTGATTCTGTACACAAAACTCCACTTGCGACTTACTTCTAATGATAACCAAAAAAAAAGCAATTCTACGTGCTACTTCTTAAAATATATGGTGTCACCTATAGCACTGAATGAAACGGAAGGGTTGTTAAGTGAATGTGAGCAGTTATAAGTCAGGTAATATTACTAGAAGAAATTAAATGACTCCCAGTTTTACAGCAGGTGGCACAATGAAGCCGAGGGTCCTCGGCAATAAACTCAAGCCTTTTCTTCAGTGAGGTGGAGGGACAAATGGAACGCTAAATGGGGAGAGCTGGGCCAAGATTACAATTAGATGTGTGCAAATGCTGCTACTGCTGACACATTTATAGTGATTTTCATTGAAAATATGTACCATGTTCATTTTTTACAGCTCGAATCCACAATGGAAACGAGTAGGACCTCTGTAAAAGGTACGACCATGCAGAAAAGTACACAGTTTAATGTAATAAACTATTGTTATCTATTCAACATCATTGTTTCTATGCATTGGTTTAATTATACAGGTTCTAAAATTCAAGTTAATTTACTCTTCTTTGCATTAATTTGCGTTAAATATCTATCATATCAAGAGATGCAGTGACTTGCACTGGGGAAAAAACATCTAAAACCGTTTAGGAGTATAGAAAAAGACCTAACTGGTTGATTAACTGCATGAATGATTTGTCCAGAGCGTGTGTTTCTTTTATCGCTCCAGACATGTCTGCACAGCGACAGTCACACGTTTACCCTTTTTGCCCCCTGGCATGCATGCTTCCGTCTTTGCTATGTCTCCATCCTCGCGCAGCGTCTGACCATTACGTCAACGCTTGCGCTGCGCTCGCGGCCGAAGCGGAGAGTGATGCTAACAAACATGGCCAAGTGTCTGTTTTCCTTCGGCGTCCACGGGACTTGTAGTGTTTTTGAGACCTATCCGAGACTATGACCCCCCCTTGAAAACAATTTAGCAGCCCCCCTCCCCGAGCTCCCTGTTGCGTAAAAGAACTACGATTCCCGTGGAACTGCGATCAATTTTCTGTTAATGTCAATATGGCTGCTGTCAGACAGACAAAGGCAAGTCAGTCTCGTCTCCAAGCGAAATCAAATTAGGTGGCGAAAAGAAGGCGGCAAGGCTGTAAAACAGTTGGCGCATGTTCAGTGTCGGGACTACGCGAACGGATTTACTTTAGGACTAATATATTATCCCGTTATTAAATGGTGTGGTGGACGGAGGCCATAGATCCACAGACCAAGGTAAGAAATTTGTCGCTAACGTGGCTAACTAGTTAGCCACATCTGTGCTCACATACCCAGAGTAGTTAGGTCGGGTAGTTATCAGTTTGGGTTTGCAGATGTCATGCACGGGGCGAATGCAAAATATACACATATGTTAAATGAGGGATAGAATAACATTAACTGATTGCTCACATACCCTGCGAGCTATCAAAACAGTTGTCGATAAATGCAAAGTCTGCAGCTGTCTACCGCATTATGATTTGGCTGTTAAAACTGAACACAAGCTGCTTTTACGCCCAGATCGCGTCCCAAGTGTTGCAGTTGAAGTCGGTAAAGTTACGGGCTGGCGAGGCTCCCACCGTGATTTTTTTTGCATTAACCATCGCTATCGAGGGGACTAGCTGGCGGGGTCGGAAGTTAACTATTTCCTAGTGGAGTAGTTGGCAGTGGCCACATCTGTCCTTGGAGCGCAGAAATCTAGCTGACTGACCGACTAGTTGATACGAAATATTTCCGAGCAAAGAAGGGCTCGTGGAGTTAACTCCGTAATCATGTTACTCCGGTTTCATATATTCTGTTTTTCCTGAAATACAGCTGAAAAGCAGAGAAATAAATACTATGGGAAATATAGCTGACTAGCTAACTAGTCAAATAGGACACAGAGGGCGTTAGCTCCAGGTCTTAAATTAGCTCGATGTCTAACGTCAGGGTAGCTGTTTGTTTCTCAGCTTGCTCCGAATGTTTATTTCACTACTATGATTAAATATTAATATTGAGTTAGTTACATGTCAGTGGGACGTATTGTTATTAACAGGCTGCCGGTAAGGTGTAACTAGTAATGGTAAGTTTGGGCGTTCCGCCTTTGCCGATAGCCGCTTAGCTTGTTAAATCAGTGACGTAAGGATTACATTACTGCGCGGATACCCCGCCGACACAGTCAGATAAAAGCGAGCTCGCATCCTCATTCTCATCATTTCTGCTTCTTTTTTTATTTAAAAGTTACCCTGGAAAGTGTCGTCTCTTCCTCTTACTGGAGCACTTTAAAAGTAACCGCTACGTTGAATAGCTCCAGTCTGTTGCTTCCCAGGGTAAATGTTTTTGATGAAGACCTGTGCTTGGTTGGTGTGTAGGCAGACTCTGTTTTTCTAAGTAGCACTTATCTTTTGAACAACGTACAGCACCCATGTTGACTTTAGGATAGGGGCTGGACCCAATAAATGAAGACCCTTCCATTTGTTTTTGATATGGAGTGTGGGTTATGGGGTATTCGTTCTTTGCCTTGCGCATCTACTAACAATTGGATGTCCCAATTTGAACGGTGATCATTAATTTAAATTCTCTAGTTGCAGTTAATCTGTAAAGGCTAGGCTGAAGTTTAACCTGAAAAACTTAAACCAAAGTTCTTCTCAAAAGATGCTTTATTGTTAAGCATCTAGTATTGTTCTTATACTTTTATACTTCACAGAAAAATGCTGTCTTTGATCAGATGTATAATATTTCTTTCACTTAATTACAAAACATATTTTCTGCTCAAGAATCTCTCCCAGAGGTTTTAGAGAGCTAAAAAAACTTTCCCCACTGTTACCAAGTAATCCATTAGCTAACTGTAATAGGACAGGAGGCGTAAATTAGAGTTTGCTTAAGGGTAACCAGGTTTTTTATGTTTAGCCTTGTTGTTTTCCATTGGCAGCTGTTTATTTTTTTAATTTATCTCTAAATCAGCATACTTATTTTCTTTATTTCCCCATTGGCAAAAATACCTGCCAAAAAAACAACCAATCTTTCTATGACATGATCTTTTAAAGACGGTTAAGATCAACTTGTATGCACTGTATTTCTTTCTGCAGCTATATCATTTGCCTTTTCTTTGCATGTGGTCCCAGAATCTCTCTATTCTAACTTTTCAATCCTTGTTTTAGATCACCGTGAATTTTGTATCTTCAAATCTACTGTCTCAGTTATATTTGGACATATTTTTTGATGCAGTTTTTAACTCAAAACCAGCACCTGCTTTTCAAGATACCCTGCATAAATACAAGTGGTGAATTATAATAACTGTAATTAAATTGATTATTATGCACAGAGGTTGAAGTGAGAGACAAAGTCCGCCCATTTTACTACTGGCCAGTTGCCAACATCCTTGGAGAAATGGGATGTCTATTATGCGTAGTGACTGATCTTAATTGCAATAAGTGTTTGAAACTGTGCTTAAACCTCATGGTTTGCACATGTGAACTGCATGCGGATATCTTTGTTTTGCAAGAATGCATTCTCATTTTATGTATATCATTTCAGTACATCTTTATAGATGTGCAGTGTAATTTGAAAGTATTATTATACAATCTACATGCAGATATTTTATATACCAGTGGTGGTATTTAGTGCTTTTTGATTTTTACTCTTCTGTTGTTGCTCTTGTGTTTTTTCAATGCTATTACATTTCATTGTTGGTGTAAATGCTCTATTTGAAGACATCTATGTATGCTATAGCACCGTACTGAATAAAAATACTTATTTCTCTGTGCTGTGGTCTTTGGGATGACCACTTCCTAGCTGCAACCACTGTAGATGCAATGTATATTTTATACGGCATCGAAATGCTTCACAATTTAAAATTCACTTCTTTATCCTTTAGTAAGTGGCGGCTTTATCTCTCACCTTATTTCTTTAGCTTAGGGATGTCATTGTGTGACCTCTTCTGTTGTTGATGCAAGTTTATGTGGACAGGGGAAAAAAAAGATATCCCAGAGTTGTAATGGCTGGTCGGATTGTTATTGAAACAAATCAATAGCCAACATGGTAAGAGGAAGGCTAAAGTCTATAAAGATGGACTAAAGTGACGATATTCTAAATCACAATGATTCTTGCAGTTGCTGACCAATGCAATAAAACTGGGATTCTACAATGTATGCAACATCATATTATTAGTAAGTACTGCATAAATACTGCAATATTGCTTAAAATCTGGACAACTGGTTTGTGCTAAAAAGGTTTTCATTTTCATAGAAATGCTGCATTTTAATTTCTTTTGTATTTCCATTCATGTTTTCTGTTGGAAACAGAAATGGTAATCAGAAGTGTTGTTTCTGTTTAGATCAAGGCTATGGGAAAATGATAAATGCAGCTGCAGTTGTCACCCTTGCCGGAGACATAAGTGGAGCTGACCTGAATACTTCAAAGCTTTGTTTGTTGGGTGGGGACTTGAATGTCTGTGCCACATGCAGCTGTCTTAACTGCATATAAGGATAACCTGTTTTTTTTATTATTATTATCTTTTAGAAGAGCTGCATTACATTTAAATGTGTGTACCGTTGGGAATATTCAAACTTGAAGATTTGAGGGGGAAATGACTTATCTGGAGGCAAAACTAGGTTGAACACTTCCCTTGTCCGATAGCTACTTGTCGGTTATACTGAACATTTTAAATTGCCCCTCTGCATCGCAGACGGATAGTTACAAGGTTTACTTATGTTGCACAGAACAAGTAGCTGAATGCAAACCCTTGTAGTTCACAATGTGAGGGGTGAAAGTCACTTTGTAAATGATTCTGCAGTCCGTGTCTATGATTGCTTTGTGTAATTTGCGAGCCATATATGTTAAGATAGCAATGTGCCCTTGTTTCAATTCATACTTCATGGCACTGATTTGTAAGGACAATGTTCTGTTTTTATAACTGAAAAACACAACGTGGAAAGATGTTTTTGTACTTATATGCACTTTGATTTATTGGATGATTAAGACTTCTGATAATTGCATGCAAAAGTAGATATGTCTCATGTGACCTGTTCCCCCCCCCCCCCCCACTATATTATTAAATGCCCTTGCTAATATTTCTCAGAAATGGATCAGAGTATGTTATAAACTTCCTGCAGGTCATCACAAGTGACAACATTTCAGGCAGCACTTTAAACAGGGATCTGTGGGTTTGGGATATATGTCTGAGTCCAGAAGGTGGTGAGTTTGAGTTCTGTGACTGGCAGAGCAATCATATCACTATTAGCTCCTCAAGCAAAGCACTTAACCCCAACTACTCCAGGAATGCTGGCTGGCACTGCTCTCTGACCCAGACTTTCCTCACATCCATGCATTGCTCCGGACAAGGGAGTCTGCTGCATAAATAGAAATTTTTAAAAAAGGTCTGAATATGGACCAGATTCATTGGCTATGTTGAACCCTTATTTATTTTTTTCTTTCTAAGTATCTAGTAGGTTTTGTAAAGATAATGTTAAATGTTTAAAATCAAATGACCATGGTATATTCTGAATATATCCTGGTTCTTGCATGTAAGAGACGATATTAATTCTGTTTTGCATGTTAAATTTCCATCCATCCATTGTCCAACCCACTTATCCTACTGGGTTGCGGGGGGTCCGGAGCCTATCCCGGAAGCAATGGGCACAAGGCAGGGAACAACCCTGGACAGGGGGCCAGCCCATCGCAGGGGGCACTCACACACCATTCACTCACATATGCACACCTAAGGGCAATTTAGCAACGCCAATTAGCCTCAGCATGTCTTTGGACTGTGGGGGGAAACTGGAGCACCCGGAGGAAACCCCACAACGACACGGGGAGAACATGCAAACTCCACACACATGTGACCCAAGCGGAGACTCGAACCCAGGTCCCAGAGGTGTGAGGCAACAGTGCTAACCACTGCACCACCATGCCGTCCCCATGTTAAATTTGACAATATAAAATATTTCTGACATTTTCATTTAAAAATATAATTATTAGAAGTACATTTAAACCAAATTAGATGGTTGGAGGGAAACTGAAAACATCAGCTGACACAGATCAGAATTATATGAAGGCCATAATGGTTCTGCCTAGCTGAAAGCATTGCTATTTGTTTGTATTTGTTTTGACATTCCCATTAATCATGCAGCATGAGAAAGTACTGTCTCATTTTGTATAGCTCCCGATGCTGTTTGGGCACATCCTTTCAATTTAAACTCTGTGCCTTACGTTACTCGCAGTTTGACTGAATTAGGCACCATTTTCCTTGCAAGAGAAGC